ATGAATGATTTACGATATGGTTTTCCGATTTTACGAAGTAACACTGTAATTTTCGTTAAATACACTTCGGTTGCCCGATCTGTGTTCTCGTTCACTACATGTATAGCGCAAACACATCACATTTTTTGAGATCAGATTACATCTTCTCATTGTTCGATAAAAATTTATAAAATGGACTAATTTTTTTTTAATAGAAAAACTTTGATTTCTGAAAACTTTTAAAATTTGTCTTGAATAATGCAAATACACAGTGAGAGAGAGAGAGAGAGGACAGATGTATCGTCCTTAAATTGTAAGTCTCTTCAAACATTTCAATATTACATTACATCACATGATTATTGCATACAAACATTACCTTTAGGATACCCAATTGATTTATTTTCAACAAATTGTCCATGATAATAACCAGTTTGACTTTCATTACCATCATCATATATATTATATTGTCCAGTTGGTTCATCACACAGCGATAATGCTTTGTCTTGATCATAAACACCATACGATTTCATTGGTCCATCATAATATGATGTGGTTTGAGTATGTTGTTTACTAATATAAAATTGACTAGCTGGATCATCATCATCTGTCACAGTGCCTTGTGAATATGGGGAATTTTTTCGTGCAAAATTTGTCGGTAATAATCGACGTCTTGGTTCTTGATAGGGAATTCGACCATCATCAATCACACTGAAATCTTCACCATCGGAACTACTAAATGACAAATGATGCAATTGATGATGACGTAATTGGTCACGATATCTTGGCGGTACTGCACCATAACGATAATTATCCCAATTTGGAATATTTTTTCGTTGAGCTAAGTTTGGTAATGAAAACAAAATTTAAACATATTAGCAAGTGTTTATCAATGTTTTTGTACAACTTAGTTTTCCAAGTCATATAACAGAAGATGAAAAAATCGCTTGTTTGAATCATGTTGGACTCATCAATATAGTCAAAGGTTGTTACTTTTTCGCAGTGTGACTTCAGTTTATAATTTCCCGTTAACTGTGTATTTTTTAGGACTAATCTTCCTAATTCAATCATGAATTTATTCAAGAATATTTTCAAGCCAGAATACTAGTTATTAAGGTAGTGTATCTCTAGTTATTTAAGCTACTTTCTTTGAGACATCTGAAAGTCAGCGGACGAATTCATGAATACTAAGTGAGGAGTATATCTGTGTACTGTATGAGTGGTAATCAATAATTTGTCTATGTTTTAAACCCATCAGAGAATAGATGAAGAATTGAGATGTAGACATGCACTCAATCATACTGATACACAAATGTATACATTGTGGATCAACTGTTTAACTTATAGTAAGTAGGTAACATGAAATATGACATGCTTTGAGACGGTGTACAAAACTTGTAGCTCAGATGGATGATTATGGTGGAGTTTCGTTCTTTGAACTAGATATTTTGGTTGTGGAACTTTTATTGTTCGTCTGAAAAACTTCTACCTGACGTTTGTGTTGATGAGGTTGTTCAGATGAACAATAAGAGCCCGACAACCAAAACATCCGGCTCAGAGAACGACACTCTATCTATCATATGACAGGCTTTTTATCCTCTCTTTCGTGACGTGTAAGGATAGGTCGTCCATTGAAATTGAGAAGGGAATATACATATAGTGGTTAGAGTTCCGGTTGTGATAACCGATGACGATGATTCATTAATAAACTCATATTTTATGCATAACTATTGATTTATTGCATTATTTCTTTATTGGTTAACTAAAAGTCCTCGCTCCATTTTTCATTGGCTGATTTAATGAATCTGTCTACTCATATTGAACTGATCATACTTGATTTTAATTGTTTGTCACTGGTTTCATCACTTAAAACTGTAATTTCCAATTAAATTAGAAATTTTGCATTGGATCGCATCGATTTTTAGTGGAATGAAATAAAACATTGCGTGTTAACTGATGATGGCAGGTAGCAGTGGGACTTCTCGAAAAACAGATACTTGAATTAATTCAAGTATTGACCCACTTAGTTAGTTCACTAGATGAAACAGTTAAAAAAACTTCAATTTTCTACTGATTGCTACATATGTTTAAGAAGGAGATTGATCGACTTTAGGAATTTTATGATCAGTAAATAACTGTCTGGAAATGGAAAGTAATCAAGACAATAATTTCCTCTGTAAATAATCATCAGTAAATATTTGATAGAATATTATTATCCAGTCACCCATTACTCAACTATGTAAGAAGTTAAATAAATATTTCCATCATTTAAACGTAGTTTAGCTGACTAGTTATGTATCTTAACCACTTTTTGTAATGAAGGCCACAAGAATCTTTAGACAAGTAGTCTTCAGGAGTTCAAGAAAAACTCAAAAATACTTCATACAATCAGCGTTCAGTTTGAAACATCTCAGAGAGATAGAGAATTAAGACAGAATACGCGTTATTTCGCGATTGAATAGCCATTAACGCCGTTACCAATTTTAACATGTTGCAAGAATCTTCTTTAGCATAAGGTCACATGTCAAATTATATATTTCCTCGTTTTCTGTACAGAGAACAACCTTGAAAGTAAAACATTTTCTATACATCTGTTCAAAACGCAAATGTGAAAAATTTTGGGGACAGTTGGAATCACTTCAAAAGTCATTACCATGTGTTCAAAGCATCACATATGATATAATTTAATCATACACCTCTTCAAAGGAGATTTCTTCATTGGATCTAAACATAATTGCTTAATCTACTACCCAAAGATTTCAACCTTGATTATTTATTCATGAATTGACTGAATAACTTATGGTCGAACAATCAAACTATTGCAATAATTCCAAAAAATTTATTAAAGTGACCTGCTGAATGAAATGACCCTAATCACGATAGCTTTATTCTTAAATGTATTGTTAGTCAGTCAGTTGCAACGTAGAACTTCGTACGTATGTACATATGTTCAGGTTGCCATACCACATTAGCACAGAGACGCAAATGTCAAATCAAATCCCATAGTGATAGAGATAGTAGAGGTATCAATGGTAATAAAGAAGACTAGGGTTCAAAGATATTATTCAAGAAGTATAATTCAGTGAGATAAGGTTAGAAAGACAAAAGTAGAGGTGTTGACGAATCCAGAAGATTAGGATTTGAGAGAACACAAATAGTGGATGCATCTACGCCATCGCAAACAATTTTGATCCATGTCATTTAAGGTCTCTAACCATTGGTGATTTTCGACTTGCGGACCCCAACCATGTAGCCTACATCTACCAACATGAATCCGTCCACTTGTCAGTGACTTCATGGATTTCTGCCATGTTTTGGTCTGGCCACCCCCCTAGCTTTCATCCAACCTACTCCTACACCACAAAACATAGCTCGTCGAGGCAGTCGGTGGTTAGGCATAAGTAACACATCTCCCAACCACCTCAACTGATGAATTTTCAACACTTCATCTATTTATCTGCCAACCTTAACTAGTACTCGTTTCCTAACGATAGCATTGCTTACTCGGTCGTCCCATGATACACGAGCAATCCTTCGGATACACCTACGATCGAAGACTAGTAACCTACGAACATCTTCTACTCTTAACGGCCATGTTTCGCATCCATATAGAACGGTGCGGACTGCTGCGCAGTAAACCCCTTCCTTTGGTTAGCAAACGGATATCTCGCCTACCCCATAAATGACGTAAATCGGCAAAAGCAAATCGAGCTTTCTGCATCCGCTCTGAGATTTCGTCAGCCACCAGGCTATCAGCGCTGATGAGACTCCCCAGATAAGTGAAGTGATCACAACACGCTCGACTACTTCACTCCCATTGTCGATTCGATGTTCTAGTAGTACAAATCTAGATAGATTTCTAACAATAAGACATAACCATCGTCAAATATTTTCGAAAAAATAGTAGAATTTAACTTGTAACAAATGGCTGAAACTATAGTTTTTCCTCACCTCTATCTACCGTATAATTTGCTGATTAAAAAGTAAATTACTATCGATTATGCTGACAAACGGAACATAATTTTAAATTGATTTATGGAGATTTTAAAAATGGTAGTTTACATTATGGATTGAATTTCACCAGTCAACTTTTGAAAACCAGGATGCAATGCAAAGCTTGTCTGTCTTAGTTATGGACTTATTAATTATGTGCACTGTCTAATGATCGGAACTAAAATCCTTCAAGCCTCTCTAACTGTCCTTAATCTACAGACCACCGGTTTCTTATCTACTAGCTCACATTTCATAATTTCACTTAATTGGTGTTAAAATCAGAGAGCCCTAAAGGCTCTGAGTTCAATCTTTTGAAAGGTCATAGTTGTACACTTCTTAGTAGTTTCATTGTCCAGTGTTATGTCATTCCTAGTAGTTTGACGTTACTGTATGGGGAAGTTAGATACCCAAAACTCACTTGCGAAGGGTCCTAATTTTGGATTTTTTATGTTTTCGCGCATAAATCGCTTAGTTGACCTTGAGCTTACATTTCCCACTCGGAAAATCCTTCAATGTCATTGTTTGATGGATTATTTTAGTATACTATTTTTGTGGCTCTCCCAAGGATGTTGCTATCATGTATAAATAAACTCGATTTGTGTGCTTGTCGACTTCATTATTTTCTGGGTGCTTGAAGAACACACTTTCAAAGCCTTATCAAGACTTCTTCATATATAGTTAGTCAGGCCGGGAACAACGGATTAAAATAACCTATCGTGTCAGTGCATCCATTGTCTTTGCTCCGTTTACCGAGTACGATGAACTCGTAATAGCATTCAAGCATATCAGTTATATAATAAAGTTATGTAAACTAATTCACCAACTTACCATTATAAGGACTAGATGAATAATTTTGTTTATAATGCATCGACTGAGAAGGAAAATTTTGATCACTTCTATAACGAATTTCTTGATGTCGACCAAATTCATGTAGTGAACTTTTTCTTCTTCGATAAGATAAACCATGTTTTGTACTAGTACTACTATCACCACCAGCACATGGTGAATCCGATGGATCCGACGGGAATGAATCACCAGCTGGATAGGAACTGTCCAAATAAAAATTATTTGGTGGCCTTGAATCATTCGAAGGATAACGATTATAATGATTATTCACTTCTCTATATGATGTCAATTCATCTGTTGGATAATATACACCACCGGATGTATTATGCCTTAATTTTGCTACATGATCATATTCACCAGGAATTTGATCATATTTTATGAATTTATCACCATATCTAATAAAAAAAATTTTTTTAAAAAAAGAAGAGAGTTAGGATAAAAATTGAATATTTAATGATATGAAATTATGAATTGATTAATTTTAGATTACCGTTAGGAAGCGAACAGCACTGACCGGCCTTGTTCGTCTTGGCATAGGACTCATCAGCAGTGCGCATCTGCTACTCCTGCTACTCACGGGATTCGAACCCGGGACCTTCGTTCTTGAGCACGCTTAACCTCTAGATCAATGATCGAAGTTTAACATTAACACCACTTGGATGCCAGGTCAGTGGGCTAGGAGTTAGGCGTTTGCGCGTAGGAACAAAGGTCGTGGGTGCGAACTGCTGAGTTTCATCCGGAGGAACCGGCAGTCAGGTGCTCCCTGGTATCTTACGATGGCCTAACACTAATCGATTCATGATTTCAAAATAACACAACAATTTTCACAATTCTATAAAGCGAAATTTTTGAAGCTTGTAAAGATATCTTAGTGAAAATATAATGTACAGACGACTTTCAGTAGCTCTCAGTCAGTAAGGACTTAGGTAATACAAATAAATAACTTATTTAATAGTTTAGGCTAAGGTTTAAGGTTAGAAGTTGATCTAGAATCTGTAATTA